AAAGTATTGAATATTCAACACCTTGAGAGAATTAAAGGGCACTGACTGATTGATTGATTGACTGACTGACTGACTGCTATATCATGCCCACACTGCGTAACTCTGCTCCCCTCTCTTTAAATAACATAATTTTGGTCTTCAAGGTGTTTATTTTTACTTTCTGATTTCTTGTGACATTCTTAAATAAATAGGTTTCCTGTTTCTGTCACCTAACATTCTGGTTCTTTTTTGTAATCTATCATTCTAAAGCTGTTCTCTTCCTTGTTTGCTTTGATATCAGTGGTTTCCTAATATAGGAATCTGTGAATTGTATTTAATTTCTTTTTTAAAAACACACTACCTTGTAATGCTGCCTGAATCTCACACATTCAGGAGGACCATTCTTTTAATAACTCTTAGTCCAGATCTAGCAGATGGAAAGGTCTGGAAGAGTTACTTCAGTGCCAAAATTGATTTAATAGAGGCAACTGCTTGAAACAGCAAGTACCTTTTCAATGAACTGTTTCCTGTTGTTTCTTGTTAGTCTTTGAGTGCTACTGATCCAACCCATACTGCAAGTGTTTTTAGTATGAATAAAGAAATGTTTTTCATAGTCTTATTTATATATATATACCCTTATATATTCTTAAAAGTTCTCATTAAAATCAGTGAAACTGGTTAATTATCTTAATTATTTCAATGAGCCTTTTCAAAGCATTAATCCAGCCTAATATATAATGTTTTACAATGTAAAATGTAAAATTGGGGTGGGGCTTTGATCACATTGGTGAGGTCACCATCCTGACTTTTTTGACCTCCTGCCTGTTGGAAAACCAGGTGAGGAAAGATGAAGAAATTTAGCCTACAGCCCTTAGCTTGACTATGAACTTCCTGAGTGTTGCTTCTGAATAGACATGTAGAGAATGACCTTGTAACTCAGAGAAATAGAGGGAAACTTATAGTATCAAATCTGAGTATTGCCTATAAACATAATTATATAATCTCTTTTATATATATATATATATATATATATATATATATATATATATATATATATATATATATATATATATATATATATATATATATATATATATATATATATATATATATATATATATATATATAATATTATGGATTTATATCCATAACAATACAGTTCTAAAAAAGAATGAATTGCTAAGCTGTGGTTAGATCTAGTTTTCTTGTGCATTGTGTTTTCAGAATGTGATGTTTCTAAGTATGTTTCTGTCCTTTTGTTTAACACTGCACTCATTCCAATTTGCTTTTGTCAGTCCTTCCACAGTATCTACTCCTGTCCTTGTTTCTGCTCAATTATTTGCATCATCTGGCCATTCCTTCTCAGGTTACACTTTTATACATTTTTATCTATGGGGTTAATTGAGTAGACATGTATACAGTCATGCTGTCAGTCAATTATAGACCTCTTCTTTCATGCAGTATACATACCAGTATGTATGTGTATTTCCCTTTCCTCTTTGGAGGAAAATACATGTAAGTCCCATAAACGTGAAGTCTTCAGACAATTAAAAGCATTGAACATTTGCATGTGGCTAAACAGAATTAATATTAACAGAAAAATAAAAAAGTTGTTTCAGTCATGCACATTTATCATTGAAATAGAGAACCACATTTGTCATTTCATGACAGCACATATCGTGCACATTTAAGTCAGAGGAAGACATCATAAAATTAGTATGGAACTAATCTGTGCTAGTCAGAAATAAAATAAATTCAGAAGAGGCTGCATGAAAAGCCTTTGTAGAAAGAAAGAACATTTCCAAAACCCAAGAAGTTTCCACATTTCTTTTTAGTCCCCTAACCTATTTATTTTTGTGTGCCATCATCATTTATTTGACTTCAGTGAATACTTATTGTGCTTTAATGCTGTCTATTCTTACTTGTATCCAATTTAAATAACCACACTGTTTGATAGATTCTTCAAAGTTCTGATTCTTCCTAGCCCACAGAGAACTGTGAAGATGGTAAGATAGAGCTATGTGCACCCCACTGCAAGTGCTTTTATAAGCCATACATGGTCTCCTTCTGTAGAAGGCAAACATAAATAAATTTGATAATTATGGTGGCTGCAGTTGATCAGAAGTTGATAGGCAGCCAGTCTGTTGGTGATAGATTTTCAGATGATCATTACATGCCCAGTAGCCATCTGAACTGTCTTTAGGAAATGAATTAAGATGGAAGGAAGAGAATAATATATTTCTCTTTAAAGGAATATTTCTAATCCAGGTGTGCATTGGAAAATAGCAAAAATCTGAAACAAACACCTCTAGAAATAAATAGCCATGGGTACTAAAACTGTCTCCTAAGAAAGAATGCACTGGAATTTGTGGTTTGCTTCTGTAGTGTCTTCATTCACTGCTGATTACAATTATAAAGGCTCTCCTTTTTATATCACCTCATTTTTATTTCAATTTTCTGGAAATCCTTCCCATACAAGATGGTAGAACTATGGGAGAATTAACTAGATAACAGATGTGTATTTAGAATTTAGATTTAACTGATTAGCAGTCTGGCATTATTCATTGATAGATAGATGATAGGTAGTCACAGATACATTTTTCTTAACATGTCCAGTTGCAATAATAATTATATACTTCAATTTTGTTTAGAAATATGCAATGCTATGTCATGCATTCAACTTATTTAACTCACCTCTAAATTACAAAAATGTGTAACTGACTTTAAAAATAATATCAACAATAAAATCAACGCCTGGCTGGATGTCAAGTATATACTGAAAGCAAATACACAAAGGTCAGTCTAACACCAAAACCTCAATGAATATTGTTAAAGGTAGGAAATGGCAAATATATTGTCCTCCTTAACTACTGCATTATGTTTGAATTTAAACTGTTTTGCTGATTATAGAATTGTAGAAGTAGACAAAGCGTGATCACATCCAGCTCAGCTGTGAAAAAAATATATACTTAGGATAGTGACATCCAAACTTCAACTTTGTTATACTGATCCAGAGAAGTGTCTTATCTATAGAAACTTCCTCTCAAAAGGTCAATAGAAATATTTATTATCCAGATAAATCCACCTACCCATCTGCCACAGGATGCTTCCTTTACCCAAAACATCATAAATAAATCTGCAAGGCAGATATATCTGGAAATGGTGGCAACATAGCCATCTGTTCTTCTGATTTTCTGGGATTTTCTAATCCATAGCCTACCAATAGAAAAGAAGAGAAAAATAACCTGACCTCTAAATTACAAAAATGCAAAACGTGAGTTTTTCCAAAAGTAACAATATAATTGTATAACTAAGAAATCACTTTGGACAATCACCATGAACAACCAAACAGTGCTGAATTTCATATATAGAGCAGCATCAAGAGGACCATTATTAAGTAACCTCTTGAAGCAAAGAAACATAGTAGGTTGATGGAGAGGCAAATAAACAAATCACACACACACACACACACACACATCAAAGAGGGATGGAATCAAACTGAGGTCTCACATAATCTTTCAGCTCTGGGCTTGTCGACATGCTTTCCAGACAGCAGTAGTGATGGTGGCTGCAGCCTTAGTCTAGACTAGAGGAAAGTTTTGAAAATCAAATCAGAGGGCTCAACGCTCATGTGGATCAACTGACCATCATCCACCTACTTGCTATTTTTGTAATTTCTCCTTCAGGCAAGGAAAGATGTATGCTTTTGTTCAGTGACTGTCAGGGCCTCAAGACATATGTCAGAAATATGGTGGTTTCCTGGGCTACATACATGCTGACTTCAATCAGAACTGGGGATTCCAATGGAGAAAGTAAGAGAGAACAACCAGGTATGGAATATTGGCAGGATGCTAAATGTTGGCCATGTTTCATTTTTTAATTTTGTTTTCACCAGTGCTATAGCTGCTGAGGCTAATTCCTCTACTACACTTGACCTTTCTTTACAACTTCAGCTATTGAGATAATGTGGATCCACAAAGCTATGGTTAACTACTGTTGCAGTGATACTATGATCCTATGCTTTTATGGATAGTTAAGTACCTTATTTGTGGTACAATGCCTTAATTGTATAGCAGAAAAGCAATTCTAGACAACAATATAAGACAAATCAGCCTTCACAGTGAGCTGAGGTTGAGAGGAAGGCTGCATCTTGGGGACCAATCTTAAAAAATGGTTACTCCTACCATCATTGCTGGAATGTGTGGATAAGCCTTCTGATCAGTTAGCCATGAGCCTGATACAATCAGTTATCAGATGCTAAATATTGATAGGCAGTTTCAAAGCTCCTGTGCTTTATTCTTATGAGGGTTTTTTTTAAACTTCAAACTAGTTTTTAACTGTAGACCTTCCAAGCAGCGGACTACCCTTTATAGCTCTTCCATTATAAGAATAAACTTTGTAAGCACAAAAGCACAAGTCTCATCTGGAAAGTCCTTTTATCATTCTGAGGATTAGACAGAATTTTAGAATAAGTTTACATAAGTAGTAGGACAATATCAACTTATTTTTTAAAGCACCAGAAGGTAAGACAACCAGAAGGTAAGACAAGAAACAATGGATGGAAACTAATAAAAGAGAGAAACAACCTGGAATTAAGGAGAAACTTCCTAACAGTGAGAACAATTAACCAATGGAACAGCTTGCTTTCAGAAGTTATGGGAGGGGAATTCAGAAAACATATTGTAAAATGATATTGTTTAAATCTTAAGACCAGATGAAGGAAATGGTCCCAATGCCAGCATAAAATTAGGCCTGCATTGCCTTTTATTGCCAATACATTGAACAAATGCAAATCTCAAATGCATCCATCTTAACTCATCCCTGGGTGGAGAAGGGTGGGATTTATTCCAAGCAGCTGAATCCCAAATAACTTGGCTAAGTTATTATTATATTTTTGCCATCAAATCAATTTTCTTGGCAATATTTTTGGAAGTGATTTTTTTTATTTGCCTTTTTTCATATAAAACTCAAGGCTGAAGACATACCAATACTTCCTCCTCCTATTTCCCCACAATAACCCTATGAGGTAAATTGGACTGACTGGCTAAAGTCTCCATCTGGCTTTTCATGCCTAAAGTGGGACTAGAGGTCAAAACCTCCTGGTTTATGGATCAAAATCTTAACCACTACATCAAGCTTTACCATTGCCTTCTTCCGAGTGCCAACAGAGGGAGACTGACCCAAAATCAGTCAGCGGGCTGCCATACTAAAGGCAGGATTGAAACTCACAGTTTCCAGCAACTCTAACCACTACACCAAATGTTATAACCTTACAGAAAATAGCAATATACAGCAGATCCATGTGTTTACTCCCACACTGGGTTCACATGTTATGCTAACCTACAATATAGTTTGTTGTATTTGGAATACCATATTGTCTGAATGCAGCCATGTGATTAGTAAACTATGATTTATGATTAGCATATAGAATAGAATAGAATAACAGAGTTGGAAGGGACTTTGTAGGTCATATAGTCCAGAGGTCCCCAACATTTTGGGCACCAGGGTCTGGTTCCATGGAGAGAGGTTTTTACGTGGACCGGAAGGGGCATGGTTTTGTGGCTGCCTGCATCCTGTGGATGGGGCTTTGCTTGTTTGTGTGGCCCGGTTGCTGGCATGCTGCGGCCCGGTACTGGTCTACGGACCGGGGGTTGGGGACCCCTGATCTAGTCCAACTCCCCACCCAAGCAGGAGATCCTACACCATTTCTGACAGATGACAGTCCAGTCTCTTTTTGAAAGCTTCCAGTGAAGAAGCTCCCACAACTTCTGAAGGCAATCTGTTCCATTGTTCTCACTGTCAGAAAATTTATCTTATTTCTAGATTGACTCTCTCCTTGATCAATTTCCATTTGTTATTTCTTGTCTGGTGTTCAGGTGCTTTGGAAAATAGGTTGGTCCCCCCTCTTTGTGACAGCTCTTCAAATATTGGAACACTGCTATCATGTATCCCTGGTCCTTCTCTTCACTAGACTAGCCATGCCCAATAATATGAATTTTGCTTTCTCCAGAAAGCTATGGTTTAATACAGTGGAATTCAGCCGGTTCGCACCACTTCGGCAGAACCGATAGCTAATTTTTTGTTGCCGAGGCCCAGAATGGACTTCCGGAAGCTGCATCCACACAGAGAACTGATTTTTTTTTTCAAAGAAATTTTATTTTTTTTTCCATCATAAAAAACAATCATAACATGAATAAACACAATAACAAATAAACCCCCCCCCCCGGACTTCCCAAACCTAATCCCAGGATAATATTCATATAAAAGTAAACAAATACTAATATCTCTAACTCCACAAAATATCTTAATCTACATAAAAAGATAGAAAAAGTAAACAAACTTAAAAAATCTAAAAACCTAAATTATATTCTACTACTCTATGCTTCTTTTGAATATAAACAATCCATCTTCTCCATATTGATAAAAATTGTTCATTCGAATGATTCTTCAAATAAGCCGAAATCTTTACCATTTCAGCAAGATACGAAACTTTCAATCTCCAGTCTCCCATTGTAGGCAAAATTGGGCTCTTCCAATTTTGGGCTATCAGCAATCGAGCAGCAGATAAACAATAAAGCATCAAATTTGTTTCTTTTGCATCTAAATCTTGCACAATACCTAAAAGAAACAACTGTGGGAGAAAAATAATCCTTTTTTAAAAAATTTGCTGTAAGTTCCACCACAATTGTATCCAAAAGGCCTTAATAACCTTACAAGTCCACCACATATGAAAAAAAGTTGCATCTGGCTGTCCACACCTCCAACACTTGGATTCATAATTCACATAAATACGAGACATAGTTGAAGGATCCAAGTGCCATCTATAAAACATTTTATAAAAATTCTCACGTAAATTTTGAGCTTGTGTAAACTTCACATTTCTCACCCAGATCAACTCCCAAGTGTCCATAGGTATTGTTTCTCCTATATTTTGAGCCCATTTAATCATACAATCTTTAACTAATTCAGTTTCTGAGTCCAATTCTAATAAAACATTATATATCCTTTTAATATGTCCTTTGGCACCATCTCTTACTTGCTTCAAAAAAGTCCCGTCTTCCATAACAAAAATAGTCTTTTTATCAATTCGCCATCTATCTTGAATTTGTCTATACAGAAGCCAAGAAAAGTTTGGGTTATTTTGCTTCAAAACTTCTATTGATTTTAGGTACCAGCTGCCACCACCACTCTGGTATAACAAATCTTTATATGTAAGTCCTTCCATCACCACTCCTCTAGTTATAGTTTGAAAAATATGTGATGGTATCACCCAGAGTGGTAGTTTAACATCAAACTTGAAAAAATACTTTTGCCAAACTCTTAACAGTGCAGTCCTTATTATATGATTTCTGAAGGTTTTATCTATTTTTTTCTGCATAAAAAGATAAGCATGCCACCCAAAATACAAGTCCCATCCTTCGACATTCAAAATCCCCTTGTTGGACAAATTAATCCAGTCAGTCGTCCACGTTAATGCACAAGAATCATAATAAAGTGTCAAATTTGGTACTTTAAGTCCTCCACGTTCTCTGGTATCTTGAGTAATCTTAAATTTAACTCTCGCCTTCTTGCCTTCCCAGATAAAACGATTCAAATCTCTTTGCCATTCTTTCAAGTTAAGTTCATTTTTTAAAATAGGTATCATCTGAAATAAAAAAAGAAACTTAGGCAAAATGTTCATTTTAATGGCCGCTATATGACCCAGCAAAGAAAGCTGTAGTTTTTTCCACATTGATAAGTCCTTTTGTACCAATTTCCACAATCTTTCATAATTATTCTGATACAATTTCACATTGGAGGATGACAAAAATATTCCCAGATATTTGACTTTATTAACCACTTCAAATCCTGACATTTGCATAAGTTGATCTTTACCTTTAGCAGTCATGTTCTTTGTAAGAATTTTAGTCTTATTCACATTGATTTTATATCCAGCCACTTTGCCATACTGATACAGCTCTTGTAACAAAAATTCCAATGATTCAATTGGTTGAGTCAATGTAAAAATTAAATCATCAGCAAAAGCTTTAAGCTTATATTCTTTAGTAGAAATCTTTAAGCCTTTAATCATTGGAGATTCTCTAATTCTAGACAACAGGATTTCCAAAGACAATACAAATAATAATGGAGAAAGTGGACAACCTTGTCTAGTACCTTTTTGTATATCTATAAGTTCTGTCAAATCTCCATTGATAATTATTTGAGCACATTGTTTTTGATAAATCGCTTTTATGGCTGTTTTAAATTGATTTCCAAAATTCATGTAGTCCAACATTTTATTTAAAAACTGCCAGTCCAATTTGTCGAAGGCCTTCTCCGCATCTAAGAAAATAAAAGCCGATGGCACTTGATTGTTCTTATCCAATAAGCAAGTCAGTCGATGTCAAAACAAAATCAATCCTTGAGAAAGACTCATGTCTATGAGAGAAGAAGGTAAAGTCACGTTCATTCATATGTTGTGATCTCCAAACATCCACCAACTCCAGATCTTCCATCATTGCAAAAAAAGATTTAGGGAGTCTGGAAAGGGCCACGTCCCTAGAAGTTGTCTTTTTGTCTTTTAAAGTATCAAGTACCCCATTCCAGTCTCCCATAACAATCAAGGAATTATAATCCATAGCCACAATTTTCTGGTGTAGTTGTCTATAAAATTGTTTTTGAGATGACAGTTGATTGGGGGCATAAACCCCAACTATTAAGCACTTTCTTCCATTTAAGTTTATTTCCACCAATAAAAATCTCCCTTCTTTGTCAATTTCTTTTAAGATAGGTGAAAGATGTTTCTTTATGTATAGTGCAACCCCTGCTTTTTTTTTAAGAGCAGGTGCAGTAAACAAGTCTCCAAGCTTAGAATTTAACAATAATTTTTGATCTTTAGCCACGATATGAGTCTCTTGTAAGCATATAATATCATTATTAAAATGTCTTAAATAATGAAAAACCTTACGTCTTTTGTGGGGTGTGTTGAGTCCCCCCACATTCCAAGATGAAATTTTAAACATTAGCTGATTTCAGTCCTATGGCAATACTTGAAGCATAAGACTTGGCAAAAACCTTAGGTCGAGCGCCACCTACTGGCTCCGAAGTAGCAGGTGGCGAACTATCAGCTGATGGGCGGGCTGTCAGTTGTTTTTCTTTTTCCTTACGTCTGTGAGCTGCGCGGGTCATTCTTTGTTCTTTTCCATCGTCTTTCAAACACCCATTTGCGTCCTTGACGCCGGAAATAGAAGGGAGGTCCACAATCAGATGCTCAGCTACATCAGTCTTTTGGGCTGTGAGTGGACGCTCTACTTGCAACACAGATGCCATAAAGTCGTTCGCTTTTTTAATCGAGTTAATTCTGTAACGCTTACCAGCCACTGTTACAATTATGCCCACCGGTACATCCCATCTGAAAATTATTTGTCTATTCTTAAGTTCCTGCACCAAAAAAGCATAGTCTCGACGCGCTTTAAGTATTTTCGCTGGGATTTCCTTTAAAAGAATAATATCTTGATTTAAAATCTTAAATCTTTGTTGATAGAAAAGCTGCATTATTTCATTTCGTCTCGCTTTTCTTGTGAAATAGACCACCACGTCTCTTGGCAAATTTTTCTGACGGGCCACCCAGGAATTCACCCTGAAGACACGTTCTATTTCATCATGAATTTCTTGCCCACAAGCCAGGGCATCCATAAATGCTTCTGGGATTATTTCTCTTAAATTCTCTTTTGGATCCTCAGCCAACCCGCGGATCCGGATCGCATACTCCATGTCCCGAAATTGAGCAACCAAGACATCACCCTTAACATTTTCCAAAGTTTCCTCTACAAGTTCCAGTCTTTGCACGCTCTCTTCAGCCCTCTGTTCATTTTCCTCCACCCTTTCTGCCACCACATCCACATATTCAGCTAAACCTTGAAAGGCAGTTGTCACATTCATACGGAAGCCCTCATGTTTCTGTAATAATTCTTGTTGTTGCTGTATTACTTGATCAAACCTACTTTCCATTTTATCATCCATTTTTTGTAACATCTCTGTCATTTGCTTAATACTTTCAGTCATAAAATCCTGTAGTTCTTTGCCAGAGGGCGGTGGAGGTGAAGAAGATGGCGGGGGTGGCGGGTGGGAAGCCAACTTAGAAGTTGGTTGAGGCGGCTGGGAAATCGGAGATGTAATTGTCTTTGAAGTTGTGGGCGCCACTCTTCTCAAAGCCATATTAACAATTTGAAATTTCAATCAATGTAAAAGTCTCTTAAAGTCTTTTAAACAACTAATCCAAAACGAATAATAAAAGTATTAAAAGTAACAAAAGTTCCAGACCGGAAATCCGAATCATTTTCACTTCTTCTTGCTAAAAAGTATCATTCCATCGCCATTTTAAATTCACTTTCACTCAATCCCCCCAAGTATAGGGAAGATCAGAATATCCAAAGTTAGAGTAAAATCCAAAATAGGAAACAAACTTCCAGGGACGGTTTGTCTGCATATAATAACTCACAGTTCAATTTAAATTGCAGCGGTGGCGGCAGCTTCTAGCTTCGCCAAAGCGAAGGCGTCCTGGATCGCGGAGAATCCTCGGGGCTCCGGAGGAGTTCTAACCTACATCGTCCACATAGGACGACTCGGGAACTCAACTCCTACCCCGGGCAGCTCACCGATCCCCTTATGCCCGGGGGAAGGGTATCGAGCCGTTTGACAGCTGATGCTTGCTGTCAAAACGGCTTTTACGCGAAACAGGCGGGAGGCAGCTGTCGGCTGCGTCCGACGAGGTCGCCTGCACACCGGAAGTCCACACAGAGAACTGATTGTTCACATATTTGAATCCCTCCACTGAAGTTTCAGAAACGCAATTGCTAGTATTACTTAGAGAAAGCAATTTTGTGTAATATATTGAAGTGTTTGCATGTCTGTCTAAGTTTCTCCTGATGATTTTTCTTTTTCTTTAGCTGCTGGCTTAACCCAGATTTTATCTGGAGCTTTACAGGACCGGTCTGTGTGATAATTGTGGTGAGTAAACATTGCCTCTCTTTTTTTAACAGTAGAGAAATGAGAGTCCTTTCATTTCATTTCATAACATTTTTTCTAATATGAGAAAAAAAGAAGAACCTGATATCAACGTAGCTAAAACAGATACATCATCTTTCTTTCTTTTTTGTAATAAAATTGTTATTAATTTTCTAATTTTACATTTAGGCATTTAAAAAGCAACATGGTGGCTGGGTTAAATCAATAGTTCAGTAACATACAAAAATTTTCTGTACAAACTTCAAACTACAACCTCAAATATTTCCTCTATTTTTCTGTTAATAAGCTAATACAGTTTTTATTATATCAACTAAATAAAAACATCATTATTGCATTTATCAATAAATTTTTAGCTTATACATATCTTAATTACTTTTACATTCAATCTTTACATTCAATCAATGTCCTGTTATTAGTTTTTCCCAATTTTTAGTTTCCCATCAATATTCAAATTTAACATTTGATATTTATAATTTCCAGGTTTTAGGTAACCAAAATTTCCTTTATCTCAATTCATAACAGAATCTAATATTCAAAATACATATCTTATCTATTTGACTATAATCTTATTCTATTTCCTAAAAGTTATCTATTTCCCCCCATCTTACACCATCTAATTAAAAATACAGTATCCCCTTTAATAAATCAAAGCCCATTATATATATTGTCTGAGTTAATCAATAAACATATTCATAATAATTTTTTTTCCTTTTAGGTCTAATTTTTAAATATTAAACAAATAGCATCCTTATTTTTGACTAATTTCCAAATATTTTAAATTTAATGATCAAAATTTCCCTTACCTCAACTTCTCCCTTTGATCCTCTAATTAGTGGTATGAAACCTCCTCTAATAAATCAAAACCCCAATTTTCTTCACCCTTTTTCTGGTTTTCTTTCTTTGCCAACTAGCCTTCCATGTCAACGCTTTTAAATCATCAAATAGATCTCCCTCTATTATTATATATATTGTTTGGAATAAGAGAGACCATTTAGTTGCCATTTTTTGGACGGGATAGTCCATTTGTATTCCTTAAACCGTCTCCCTATAATTCCAAATCCCCACAATTGTCCTGGTATGTTTATCTTCCATTCAGCCAGATTGCTATGACCAGTCTTTTCTCAGCCGGTTTGAAGGGCTGCCCCAGATCAAGCAGAAGGGCTTCCACCCTCCTGCTATCAAGTGGGGGTCCCCTCCTTGTTTGTTGCCCCTATAGGGTGACTTTCGACCCTTTCCAGGGTCTCAGCGGAGAGAAACCGAACGCAGAAGACAGAGCTCTCCTTCTAGCGGCCGCGGCGGCTGCAATGGCAAACCAGAAATCAGATACATCATCTTTCTTTGATTTTGTGTCTTAACAAGATGATGTTTCTTTCATAAATAATGTGGTAAAAGACATTGCTAGGGGATCAAAGTTTAAAATAATGTAGGGAAAACTGTTGCACAAAGGGAATTCATGAATTTCAATATTTTGCCAGTGGCTGGAATTTTATATTTTAGGAAGAACTTTTTAGGGGAGGGAAAGAAAGAATGAACTGGGGGGGACATCTGGAATTAAAATAGAAGTGAACATCTACTTACTTAAAAGAATCAATTAGCAAAGTATAGAAACTCAAACTAACTTTAGTTTTCTTTTCTTCAGCTCATCTAGTCTTAGGGCATAATCTATATCTTTTTGTTGTTATTGTTGTTACCATATTTATCTGAGAAGACTTATTCCCCCCCCCCAAAGGTGAACCTGGTGTTTTTCTGTCTTATTCTGAAGACTTTGCATGAAAAACTGGCATCTCTAAATTCACAGACATCTACAGTCAGAAACACCAGGTAAGATCAATCATAAAATATGAAAATAGGAGTTGATCCTGGCAATTTGACAAAAATATTTTTCAAAATCTTTTTTCATAGTATTCCAGACCATATAAAGTTTGTCACAGTATAAGAGTGTTAACCTTTTGATGTTGTTGTAGGTCACTGATGTTGAAGGCTATAGCCCATGTTTACATCCTGTGTGTGACTTGGTGTTTTGGCCTCTTTCAATATGGCTCTTTGAAAGATGTTATGGCATACATGTTCACCATCTTCAACAGTGCACAGGGAATCTTCATCTTCCTGGTCCACTGCTTACTCAACCAAAAGGTGATGTATAGAAGAACAAAGGTCTGCACTTTGAACAAACTGCACAATTTGGAAAGTTAGATTACAACAGAAAGTCTTATGGTCCATATTTTCAAGACTGGCTTCGGGATTTTGTGAGTTGCTGGTACAAAAGTGGTCCATGTCCTCATCTACCAGTTTCTCTCTCACTGAAGAAAAAAAAAGTGGGGGGAGGCAATGTAATGGTTAGGAGGTGAATGCCATCTCCCTACAGATTGCCCTCGACTTATGACCATTTGTTTAAGGATGGTTTGAAGTTACAACAAAGGAAAAAGTGAGTTAGGAACTATCCTGAAGTTATACCTGTCGCACCATCCCTGCAGATACATGATTGCAATTTGGGCACTTGGCTACCAGCTCACATTTTCAATCATTGCAGCATCTTGCAGTGATGTGTTCATGATTTGCTAACCTTCTCAGCCAGCCTCCCACATGCAAAGTCAATTGGGGAAGCCAGATTTGCTTAATGATCATGCTGATTTGCTTAACAACTGTGTGATTGCTTCATGACCATGGTAAAAATGCTCATAAAATTAGGTCCAGTCATGAGATGACTTGCATAATTGCCACATTGTTTAAGGACTAAAATTCAGGTCCCAGTTAGGGTTGTAAGTTGGGCTAAAAATAGATTGAATAGGAGAAAGATGAATTTTAATAAAAGGCAATATCAATATAGTTATTGAAATATTCAGTAATAAATAAGAACACATTTACTTAAATGTGTTAAATGTTAAGCCACCTTTCATACTTACAATCAATCCCCAAAGCAAGTGCAATTGCATTGAAGATTATTCTTCTGAGTGTCTTTGTATTTTGGATCTTCAGGTGAGAGAAGCTTACTGGCATTGGATTTATTGCAAGAAAGACATCAGACCCACTGTTTCTGAGATAACTATGACCTCTGTTCCCATCAGCAACCCTTTGGTAAGACAGATGTGAGACTGATAGATTTAACCAAACTTACAGCGATAGGGGTAACCTGCCTCTGGTGGCCAATACAGGCAGGTTCTATATGTCCAGGATATCAGTAGAGTCATTTTTCCCAACCCAGTTAATTCTCACAATGTAAACACCATCTACTCACAAACAGCAGGCAATGGAAGAAAGCTGGATTGTCTTGGACTGACTACATGAATTCCTGAAATACCACTTCTAGGTCTTCTCTTCCTCTTTTGGTGCTGTGCCAGAGAAATTCGGAAGTACAGGCAGTCATTGTTTAGCAACCACAATTTGTACTGGCAACTCAGTTGTTAAGTGATGTGGTCACTAAGTGAAACTGCAACTGTGTTTACAATCTTAGTTCAGCCTTTCGTTGCTTTACAGAGCTGCAAAGGTTATCAATATAAGGATTTGTTGCAAAGTTACTTTTTCATCACCATCGTAACTGCAAGCAGTTGCTAAAGGAGACAGTCATTAAATGAGGGCAGAACTAATCCATTAGCTAAAATAATATTTTCTGCCTACCCTCAAATATTATGTCATTTCACTTAAAAGACAAAAGCATCTGAGCAAATTTTTTAAAATGGAGATTGTTGCTAGAAGATTATGATGAAAATCTGAAGTTTCCCCTCCTCTATGGCTGAGTTCCCACAACCTTAATACTCTTTTTTTTAGTATACTATATCATGTAGAGATAGGATTTGTGTTTTCTTTAGTTTAGCTAAAGTAAATAAAGATTGTAGCCCAGTCTTTGTTTCCTATTGTATGTTGTTTTCACATTTTGCTCATTCTAAAGCAAACCTTTACAGGTCCCCCCCACCAGGCAAATGTACCATTTGTAGCGCATAACCAGAAGATGGAATGGGAAGAACCATAGCACACTGTCTCTCCTTTGGACTTTGTTCAGTTTGAATGAAATTGAAGAAAATTGGGATATATTCAGCCATTTTTAATTCTCTTTCCTTGCTAATCTCTGGAGCTACAATGTCTCCAAAATATAGTGGAGAACTTTTTTTTCCAAGCCATTCCCTATTTTAACTCACTTAACCAGAAATAGGCTGATTAGAAAGTATAGAAAATATAGAAGGGGCAGCTCATCTGCTTGCCATTAACTATAATATGTCTACTTGAACAACATATCCAATATGTTGTTAATTTAGTTAACAACATATTGGATATGTTGTTAACTAAATTAACACCAAAGAGCTTTCAATTACTTTATAATGAAGGATATATTTAAATCTCTTTTTTCATATAACTATATTATCAGAATTTTTTCTAATGGATTGCCTTCTTTCGTATTAATATCTTTGTAGATAGAGCATTGGATAAAATGTTTTTATTTCTCAGATACAGATAATGTTCTACAAATTATTTAAAGAGGCAGTTTCACTTGTGACAACACTGTAAGCCAAGTGTCATTCTTTGAATTGCATCTTTCTCAAGATATGACTCTTTCCTATGTTATTGGAATGCAAATACCACTCTTCTGTAATAATTTTGCTGGTTTTTAAGGAACAATATATTGTTGAGACATTGAAGTGGAGTGATTTATACTCCACATAAGTAAACTTTAATGTTTTGCTTTATAATAAGAATAATACAATAAGTAGTTGAATTTATAATTTCACTGGCTGACATTTAATATATTTATTATTTACTTCCCCTCCCCTTTAGGGCTTTTATAAATGTACAGTTATATACTTTACATTTGTGTGTTTGCTTTGTATATTCTCAGTGGTTAAGTCAAGAAAGGTCCAAAGCTCATCAATATCATAATGCATCATGCACATCAATTTTGGTATTTTAAATATTAGTCATATTTAAATACATCACTGAGTATTTTTGGTTACCTTTATTAGCTGCAGCTATTATTCCATTTTAATATTAAGTCATTTGTAGAACTGCCTCAAATTATAATGCCAGCTATAGGATAATTAGAATGATCGTGATGCCCAAAGTAATATGGACTAATTGATTGATTGATTCTAATATAAACCCCATTGGCTGCTAATTAGCCAGATTTGAGGTTCTAGTTCAATATACCAAACAAAAAAGATCTTCTGCAGTCACGACATAAGCCTAAGACTGAAAATCAGGCTTGTCAGATGCTATATTTTTTCTATCCTGCTCTATGGAGTAGAGAGTTGGTCTCTGACAGAAGATCACCTGAAGAGACTAGAAGCATTTGAAATGTGGATTTACAGGCGGCTGTTACGTATAAACTGGGTTGACAAGATCAGAAATGAGGAGGTGATAAGCCGCCTGGGAAAGCCAAGGAAAATCATCAAAACAATTAAAAAATGAAAAATAGAATATTTCAGACATGTGATGTGACACCCAGAAAAACACGGCATACTCCATTTAATCCTCCAGGGAAAGATTGAAGGCAAACGAGGTCCAGGCAGAAGAAGAACATCGTGGCTTCAAAATCTAAGGGACTGGTTTGGACAAAACTCAGTAGCACTTTTTCGTGCGGCTGCTGATAAAAACAGGATCACCAACATGATCGCCAACGTCCAATAACGGATATGGCACAAGAAGAAGAAGATACCAAACACTGGGGAGGGGGGCACATGGAAGTCTGGGAACACCAGGGGAGGCTTTGAGAGGGCCAGTGAAATCTACATGTGGGTCTGAGGAGACCTTGGGAGGCCTGGTAGAGGCTGTTCATGGGCAGTAGTACTACCGGCAGGAGAAAACCTTGCAGGAGCAACTGACTAAGGCAACTTGCAAACTTTGCTTGTGGGAAGCTGGCAGGGAAGGTCACAAATGGCAGTCATGTGACTGCGGCTTACTACAACATCATAATCATGAGCTAGGCACTCAAGCACCTGGATCATAATTTTGTGACAATATGGATGCTGTGACGCCCAGATCTTTGAGGACTTGTAGTATGTCCATTTTTTCAGCACTGCCATAATTTTGAACAGTCACTGAAGGAATGGACATAAGCAAGAGAGCTACTTTTATATATTCCTAAAGACTTCTATAGGTCTTTATGTATAAAAATCATAATGTTTGATTCTTATACTAAAATATGCTTTAAACCCATTGGGTAGATTTTGATTTGTAGTGTGCTTTCCTTCGGTTTATGAGTTTGCTATAAAATTTAATTTTTTTCTCAAACATTTCTTCATTTAAATACATCTGCAGATATACAACCACTAAAGGCCAATATAATCTTAGTAAATATAGTATTGCTGATTTAAAAAAATCAATTACTATACTTACAAAGGGAGCATTTAGAAAAAAACTAGAATTCCTTAAAATAATGACCAAACTTTCAAATTCCCTAGATCGCTTCTTTAGAAGAGAAGTTACAATAGAAATTAGGAAGCAAAACAATAGGCAGATGGAATGTCCATTTTTCATGATCAAAAGTGCCCAAACCTTCCTTATGTAACAATCTGGACATCAACTAAAAGCATAATTGCATACAAAGTTAATCATATTAAACTTAACTAGATGCAAATGAAGATTTACAGTTATGTCAGCAAAAATAGCAAATTTTGCTTGCTGTTGGGACAAGCAAAAATGGAAATGAATAATAGTTCAGTCACCTCCTTCACTGATTCAAGAACATATCTGTAAAAGAGATGGAGAAGTACAGATAGTAGTTTTTTTTAATTAGAAAATCTCAGAATTAATTTACTTGCTAAAGAAGCAATAAAAACCAAATGTTAAACTTCACCCCCTTCCCCAAATAAAAGCATCATCATTAAATTACAGGTCATTTCCTCCAGTCATAGAAGCTCAGCAGTGTTCAGCTATCCTTTCTTCTCAAATTTGCAGATTGATTATATTATATTTTGTAAGAGAGGAAAGTATAGAGTGCTCCTATAACATGGATGAAAGAAGACATGCCGTGGTAGACATGACCAATCACAAACCCATTTTCCCAGAAAAGAAACTGAAAGGGCAAAAGTAAAGCAACTTGTCCAAAAAGGTAATAAAATGGAAATGTGAGCTTCTGAAGGTCTTCCTTCAGAAGATAAGAAGATAAGAGAGCCATATTACCTTTGTTCTAAAGTAGGAAGACCAATTTAATATAACACATTTGGATCATAAATTCCTTATGCTGAAGCAATTTTTTCTGTGTGTAGAAAGACAGCAAACAATTTATACACCTTTCCCTTGAATTTATTTGCTTGTTTTTGTTCCCAAATCTCAAACAACTTCTTAGTTCCTCCCATTTTTTGGAAATGTGGTGGAATAGGCTCGTTAATATCATGTGAAATACAGAACAGCATTTAAAGCCACCTCAAATATTAAGAATTTTCTCTTATGGATAGATGCTTAGCCATCTAGAATGTAACATATTCCAGATATTTCTGATTACTGTATTATATATATATTCTTAAACAAGTTCTTATGTTTTTGGTACTTTTTTTAGAATGATATCAGAGATCCAACATAAATTATAAGAATCAAAACAAAGTTGTTCTTATCTTTCGCACAAAATGCACAACCAACATTATTTTCCCCACCATTAATTTCTTTTGTAGAAGCATCAGCATTTCATTATGCTTGCCAATATTTATGGAGAAATTATCTGAGGCAAAAATTGCACAATTCTTTAGGTTGAATCCTGAATCACAAAACATTTTTTTCAGGGAATTTGCAACATTGACAAGTACTGCTTGGTTTCTGTAGGCCTAATCAGAAGCTGAGTCCTACTGAAATGTGAGAATCTCTAAAATACTAAAACTTGTCAAGTTTTTCAGGACTTCCATATATACTTGATGAAAATATATTTTGTTTTAAACATCAAAAATTTGTGAACATACTTCCCCTCTATACACACACACACACACACACACACACAGAGAGAGAGAGAGAGAGAGAGAGAGAGAGAGAGAGAGAGAGAGAGAGAGAGAGAGAGAGAGAGAGAGAGAGAGAACTGGCTTCTCTGCCTTCACATACGATACATATAGCAATAGCACTTAGACTTAGATATCACTTCATAGTGCTTTACAGCACTT